CCCTTCCGCGGCGGAAAAGGGCATTGTTTTAAAACGTGCCCGCGCGCCTTCGCCCCGCGCCGAATGCGTTGGCCGCCCACGGCGCGGGGCGGGTGGGGAAAAGTTGCCGGATAAAATGCGGGTGTTCTTTGGGTTTTTGGCTTCCTCTTCGGCACGCGCCGCCAGGCTCGCGCGCCCGCCGCGAAAGAGGCATGTGAAAACAAACTTTTTTCCTAAAAATGTCTCTGCGTGTCGGTTCGGGCAAGGCGCAGCGTTTTCGAAAGGCAAGGGCACACCGCGTCGCATGGCACTTCTCACGCTACGCGGGGCGTGGGGCGGTTGGGGCGCGAGCTCGTCCGCCGCTGTGGAGCGGCCCCGGGGACGCAGGCCATTCCGCGCCGCCGGGCCGGAGGGAAGGTGACGCATTGGCTCTCTTCGCGGCGCGGCGGCGGGGGAAAAGGGAAGGCGCGTGGAGGCCCGCCTCCATGCGGCGTCCGTGGGGACAGGAAACGGGGGGGAAGAAGACGGCCGCGCGCGGCATCTCCCCCGGCGGAGCGGCGTCTCGTCGCTTCGTTCGCGGAAAAAAAGAAAGCGAAAGGGCGGCAGGGACGATTACAGGGGGACGCGGGGCGGAGGCGAGACGGCAGACGCACGTGGGCGTTGTTGTTTTCTATTTTCACCGCAGAAAGGAACACACACAGACACAAAAGCACGCGCTAAAAAAAAAAGCCCCCCTCCCCTCCCCGCTCACTCCGGCGACGCTGCTCTTGGCTGCCGGGCGCGCCGGGCCGCGCCCCGTTGCCAGCGCAGCTCCTCCATCTGCCGCTGGTGAATTTCCTCCGCGGCGCTGCGGCGACGGCGCTGCCGGCCCTCCCGGCCGAGTCGCCGGAGCTCCTCTTCAAGCGCCTCCCTCCGTTCGCGCTCTGCCGCGAGCTCGAGGCGTAGCTGCCGCAGCCCCGCCTCCAGAGCGCCCGCGCCTTCCCCGCCCGCCGACGGCGCCCGCGCCCGCCGCCCGCCGACGCCCCCGGCCGCGGCCCGGTTCTCGCCGAAAACGCGTGTTTGCGGCGCCTCCTCCCCGGCCGTCGCGGCGGGGCCGCGCGGGAGCAGAGTCAGATGAACGGCGTTTGCCAACCCGCACGGCATCCCGACCGACAGCGGCGTCGCCGACGGGGGCAGCGGCGCCCCGTCCCAAAGAAGGACCCCGTCCCGGCGAAGCGCCCTCAGAACGTTCTTGAACCGCACGCCGGGCTCCATCTGCAGGAGGCGGTGTCCCTCTTCTCCCTGGACGTCCACCTCCAGGAAGCTTCTTCTCGTGCTCGCGCCCGCCTCCGTCGCGGCGGCGCGCATGGCGTCCAGGCGTCGGCGCGTTCGCTGCCCAGGAAACGGCGCGCGAGAGAGCAAAAACAGCAGCAGCAAAAAAAAAAGTCGCACGCGGCTGAAGTGGGGAAAGCGGGGGGGAACGCAACAAGAAGAGCGGCGGGGGCAGAAAGAGTAACAAAAGAATTAAAAAAAACCACACGCCCACACGCGGCAATCAAATCTAAAAAATGTAGGAAAAGACGCGCTCACAGCTTCACTTCGCGGCTTCCTCCTCAACTCGGCCGTTGGCTTCGGCCTCGTTTTAAGATACCGGAAGGAGCACGGGTTCAGGCGGCGGAAATGGAGGTAGGGAGGACAGCGCGGCGGCGGGCTTTACAGAAAGGGGCGTTTAAGCAGAAGGCCTTCGCGTCTCTTCGGAGCCTGCCTTGGGACATTTCCGCCGCCCCGTCGTTGCAAAAAACGCCGCCCGTCACTCGTTTTTTTTTTCTGTGTGTGTGTTCTTTTTCCTTGTCTCACTTACAATCCGACCACCGCTCTCAGCACCTCCAATATCGCAGGCGAGGCAAATCGCTTGCGGGCAGCTGTCGCCCGGCGCGGCGCGGTGCGGCGGCCTCCCGCCTACTCTTCCTCAAGGTTCTCTGTGGCAACGCGGCGTCGGGGGGCTGCGTCGGCGCCCGGCTCGCCTGGCTCCGCGGGGGCGGCCTCCTCACGCACCTCGAAGGAGATGCGCACGTCGGCAAACCTTGGGTACGCCCGCGCCTGTGGGGAGACCTCCGCCGGCACCACCTCATCGTCCCACGCGAGGTCCGCAGCGACGGAATCCTCCGCATCGTAAAGGAGCCCCTCAGGCACGGAAAACGCCGCATCGCTGATGGCTTCCTCTGGCGGAGCCGCCTCCCCGCCCGCGTCCGTCCCCGGCAAGTCCCCCACGAGGTAGGCGTCCGCCCGCACGCGCCCGCCGTCTGGCGCTCCTCCCTTGGCAAAGGAGGGGCCGGGGTCCGTGGGCGACGAGAACGAGTTAAGGCTCACAGAGCGCTGCCGCGAGACGTGGTAGACGCAAGGGCGGTGGTGTATCTCCTCGTTGCTCCCCGACCCTGCGGCTGCAAATCCTTCGCCGGTGATGGGTCGCCCAAAGTCCTGAATCCGCTCCTGCAGCTGCCTATTTGTCGAGAAAAGCTCAATGGCGTGTCGCAGTGTTTCGCATGAATCCGCAAGAAGCGTTCTTTGGGCCAACGTTCGCCAGGTCTCCACCATCAGCGCAGCAAGCGAGGTGCGCCGAAGACGGTCCTCCGTGCACAACTCCACACACCCCGCAAGAAGACCCGGTTTGCGTGCATTTTCTGTTGCCGCAAGATGTCGTAACAAAACATCGTCCGTGTCGTTTATGCGCCCCGAAAATATCGATAGCAGCGAGCGCTGCAACAGCACGGAGAGGCAGTAGCAGTTTGGGTATTGGAGACTGACCGCAAGCAGGCTCTGCAAGAAGTTGGACTCCGCAATGATGCGATCCGTATCCCGCAGCCGAAAAGAAAGTACTTCTACAAACATCGCACACAGTGCAATTCGCATGGCGTCGGCGCGGGACGGAGCGGCGGCGCCACACACAGGTATAAGGTCACAGAACCGTCTAAAATACGCTGTCAGGAGCTTAATAGGGGCTATTACAGAGACGTTCATGGAGTACATTTCAGCCACGTCAGCCGGGACAAGGGAGGTTCGCACCAGGGCCAGGATGCCGCGGTACACCTCGACGCCTTGGGCGGCAAGCGGAACAGCCCCCGGGCTAGCCCTGGCTTCCTCGCAGCCCCGAAGAATATCTCTTACATACACGGACATCAACTCGTACTTCAAAAGTTCATCCACGATGGGCCCCGCCGTCTGGCTGTAGCCGTGGTTGACCAACGCCTTCCAAAAACTAAAGTACGGCTGACACGTTTCCGTGCGCAGCGCAACCGCCATATGTGAGGCCAGGTGTTCCGCAAAACCCAGCCGAACACAGGCCTCGATGAACACCGGTGACACCGTTGAAAAGGCAGCGGGTTTAGTGTCCTGCAGGGTCGTTTCAAACAAGGCTGCAAAGGTTTCAGACACAACAAAACTTGCGGAAATGTGGCGAATGACGCCGAGAAGCAGTTCCTTGTCCAATCTGGCGGCAATGGCGGCGGTTGTGGCGTGTGCATCCACATCGAAGGCTTTCAAAATGATGCGCTGGAAACACCGGGCGAACAGCGGCGTTAGCGGCGCCGCATTTACAAGGACGGGAAGTGTCGCCGTTACGATGCGACTAAGAGGCATCTCCGGCGCCTCAGAAACGCCCAAATAAAACGTGATCAGCTCTGTGGCATTCTCACTAAACAGTGTCTGCTTCTGATCCCGGGTTTCCTCGTGCTCGGCGGGGTCACTTGAAACCTCCGCATTTCCCACCGAAGCCGCATCCGCCTTACCGCAAAGAGGTCGTAGCGCCACCTGGACAAGTTCAAGGAGGCAACGCCCCACGAAGGCTTTAAGCGACGTCACTTCTTTTCCGTTCCTGGGCTGTGACTGCAGGTACGGTGATAAACCCCTGCGGGCCACCACCTCCTCTACCGTAGTTGAGCTCGAGAAGGAAAACCCGGCAACGGCGTTGCCGGCCAAAGTGAAGGGCACAGTAAACATTTCGTTGTCGTTGTTGCCGCTGTTTTGTGAAGTTTATTTCCCTTTTGTGGGGAAAGGTGCCGATAGAGCTAAAGAAGTGGACTCTTGCAACTGGAAGCCTGCAAGAAGTTTGAACGTCACCCCTCTTTTTGTTCCCTCCCCCACGCCACCATCAGACCCCTTTAGTGGCTGCTCTTCTTTGGCTATGGCCCTTTTGCTCCTACTCCCTCCCTCTCTCTTGCGCGGCTGTGCGAGGCCTGGCGTGGGGCACCGCAACACCCTTCGAACACCCTCCTCCGCTCGCTTACGCGCCAGCTGGGAAAACAGACAAGAAGAGAAGAGTCACCGGCACTGTGGGCATGCATCGGCGGCTGCCGGTGTGCGACAAGAGACACAGAAGCATGGCGTGCAGAGGGCGTTTAGCGACCGAAGCGTTCCAGCAAGCGCAAGCGCAACAAGGAAAAACAAAGAAGAAAAAGAAACTAGTAATAATAATAATAAGTGACGCCTCAGCAAAGCCACAGAGTCCCGTCTCTCAGGTACCCCCCACAGCAGCCGAGACAAAGCCCCACACAACGAAACCAAGCCCTTTTCGTCAAGGCAACGCAGATAAAAATGTATATTTACAAATCCCACACACACAAAGGCAGATGTCAAAGTTAAGAAGAAAAATAACGAAAAAAAAAACAGTAATAATAAAGAAGCCGACAGCCAGGGAGGGGTGACAGCTGCGCATAGATGCAGAATCTGAGAAACTACCACCATCCCCTTTGCACGGCGGTTGTTCGTGGTGCGACACACGCGTGGTGTCCGCCAGGCAGTTGGTAGAAAAACCCCGGCATCGAGGCCGCGGGAAAAGAACCATGAAGAGGCTCCAAATTCGACAAGGTGCGGCTGTCGCTAAACATGGAATAGCCACGTGTTGCCCGGGGCGGCTCCCACGAAGCGCGAGGGTTGGCCACAGAGGGAGCGGCCCATCCCTGAGGCCACCCTCGCGAAGGCGGGGCGGCAGCCGAAGGGAAAAACCCCCGATGCCAGGGTAGGTGTGCGTCCGCGCCGGCACTGTGATGAGCAACCAGTCCACCAACGGAGTTCCTGAAGCACGGTGGGGCAGGTCCCTGCGCCAAGCCCGGGTCGTTCTGGCAACCTCGTGGCGGGAGACGAAACTCGCGCACAAATGAGGACGGCTGTTGCGCCGTGGTGTGAGAAGTCCCCCCGAAAGGGCCATATGGGACCGCGAACGCCCCCGCCTCGCGCCCCGCAAACCGTCGCTGACTCTCCACGACTCGAAAAGGAGGTTCCGGCAGCCCTTCCTGCGGCGCGGCGTACTGCACACCAACGCGAAATCGCGCGGATGGGCGCAAGTAGGCGGCATCACCACGCGAAACTGCAACGGGATCTGGAGAAACGGCTTTGGGGAGACTCACAGAGGCCCCGGGACGTGCGGCAGAAGAGCTTCCCTCCTGTGCGTCTGCGAATGGACTCCGCAGAGGTTGAAAGGATACACTTGAGTTCGTGCTGGTTTCCTCACGTGATCGTTTGCAAGGGTAGACAGGGGAATAATCGCGGTTAAACCTCAATTGGGAGGCAATGCAACTCGTACGCCTGACCAGCTCTCTGTAGTCTTCATCCACATCTGTTACCGCGGCGCTTCCGCCGCTGCGTGGGTGAGACTGCTCAGCAGCCTCACTGCCGCCGCCCTCTATCACGGCAGCGGCATCGCAAGAGGAGGACTTCTCTAGAGCGGAATTGCCGGCAGGTGGTTGATCCACAAAAGCGGCATCTGTTGACGGTTCCGCCGTATCGACGGCATTGGCTTCCTGCTTCTGCGGACAAGGCTGCGCCGCGTGCGCCGAAGTTCTGGGAGAAGAACCCTCCACCCAACGAAGGTCACGGAGAAGTCCGTCAAACGCATGAAGCGTCGGCTTCCCTCTTTTCCTCTGCTTGGTTTGCGCCGCAGCCTTGTGCGCGGAATCCTCGTGCCCCTCCGCCTCTGTGTCTTCGCCCAAGTTAAGGGTTGCCTGGACATCGATTCCAAGCATCTGCTGCTCTGTGAAAATTTGGCCCACAACACGACCCCGGCCTCCGTGTGGCGCATGAAAAGTGAACACCACTTGCCCCTCCTTGGCGTCAGCCGGAGAAAATTGCCGAAAGAGCAGGATTGCGTCGGTCGCGGCGTTGCCCACGATGACAACCATGCGGTACTTGACTTGATTTCCGCGTGTCCTGTGCGGCTGCGGCGTCAGGGTGACAACTGCCTTGAGCGTCTCAGCACCCGCGCAGGGCTCAAGCGAGAGGCCACACCGCGGAATTGCCCGACATCGATCCTGCAGTTCGTTGCCGAAGGGAATGTTCTTCCCGCAGAGGGCCTCCAACTTCCGGGGATCGGACGCCACGACGTCGGCGACGCCTCTGACACCGCCCTGCAGGAGCGCTTTGGCGGCACCCTCACTGACGCCCTCCAACTGCCTCAAAACGGGACCGTCCCACCACATCTTTTGCTCCATGCACCGCAAAAGAAGAAAACTCTCCTTCAAAAAGGAGTAGGATTTCATTGCCCCGGCGTAGTCGACGAGAAACCGCGCTAGGCGAGGGGCCGTTGTCCAAAGCCGAACAGAATCGTTTCTCAGAGAAAAATCGCTGATCGGCATGTGTGCTAGATGCGCCTGGAGGAGCACGTACACCTTATGCCAATCCTCCCGCACCTCCCTCCCCCCGCGCACTCCAGACTTCAACGGGTAGCGAATGCTCTTGTTCATCTCATTCAGGTGCCTCCGATCCCCTTGACGGAGGTGCAGCTCTTCAAACTCCGCACATCGGCTAAGGACACCAATAAGTTGTGGCAATACGAATGCAACGGGGGCGCCCGTCAATTCTTCCAGCGTGCTACCCTCATGGGCGAGCTTTAACGCCCGCTCCCCGGCGGCTCCTCCCGCTGAGGCGTCTAACTGCGAGCGGGCGCGCGCCGTCTCACCGTTGAGCAGTTCCACCGTCTTTAGCAAAACGTACCGCCTTGCCATGGCCCGCCCCACACGCGTGCTCTCCACCACTCCTTTCATGTTTTCCACGGGAGCGCCATCACCCCCACAGCGAGCATCGCAGTTCCCAAGCCCACATCTCTCTCCACCCGGGGCATTTTCGTAACGGATGGAAATGCACCCCTGCCGTTCCAACTCGGTAAGCATGCGGTGCATGAGCTTCGCTGCGAACTCCTCACGGTCAAAAGAAGACTCCTCTTCCTTGGTGGAGAAGAGAATGCCATAATGGCGCGGGCAGTGTCTTAAGCGTATCCACAAAAACGTCGTCTTAATCCATTCGACGCCGAGGGAGAAGCTGTGAATGGTACGCAGAGCCACTTCCGCATTTACGTGTTCAATCATCTTCTGATGCAATTGGCTTTCAACCGTTGAACAGGAGTCACCATGGCGCAGCGGCTCGTAGAGGGCAGCCTTCGCTTCTGTTGTGAGGACGAGTGCGATGCCGTGGGTGTCAAGGCCAGGGCGCCCCGCTCGCCCGCCCATCTGTGCAACCTCAGAGAGCGGTAGATCCTCGCGACGGCCACTCTTGAAGAATGTCGTGCCTTTGATAATCACAAGGTGGGCGGGAAGGTTGACGCCAAGGGCCAGTGTCGTGGTCGTGCAAATGACAGATATGTAGTGCTCTCGAAACATGCGCTCCACGAGAACGCGATCAGGCATCGACATCGCCGCATGGTGGTACGCGATCCCAAGCAAGAGGAGTCCGCGCAGCTGCTTATCGTTTGCCGAGGACGCCAGCCGTTCCACTTCTTCAGCCGGTCGCAGACGATCCTCGGCACCTTCTCGTGCGGCCGTCTCCCTCACCTCCGCCACAACTCTCAAGGAAGAATTAATCGCCTCATTACGTGAGGCGCAAAACACAATACTCGGCCTGCCCGCACTGAACTGGCGTATAAGACCAAACAGCTTGAAGGAAAGAAATCGATCGAACGCAAAGGGATTGTTGGAGGTGCTGGGATACGACAGGATGCGCAGCGTCAGCGGCACCGGTCGGTCTGCGGAGGTAAACGAGAAGACGCCACCGGGCTCCACCTGCAGCCACTCAGCGAAGTCTGCAATATTGGGCAAGGTCCCACTGATGGCGACAAACCGGGTAGAACAGAAGTGAGGCCCACGGCTGCGCAGAGACGCCTTTATAGCCTTCATGCGACTTACAACCGCCTCCAGAGCGGCGCCTCTTTCCTCACTCACAGTGTGCACTTCGTCGAGAAGTAGCAGGGCAACCGATGCCACCAAACCCCAAACAACCCCTTCTTTCCACCGCCGTGTAATACTATCCCATCGCTCTGGTGTTGTGATGATAATATCCGCGTTGGGGACCTCAAGCAATCCACCCTCGTCGCCTCGCGACAGCTCCTGATCTCCCGTCTCAAGCGCCACTGACAGAGTTGGGAACTTATCCCGCCAAAGCCCATACTTTTCGCTGGCAAGGGCCTTGATGGGACATACGTACACCGCCTTCCTCTCAGAGGCAGTCCCGCGACCGGGTGCACCACCGGCGTTTCCCGTGCGGGGGAGAAGGCGATCCTGGAAGAGACGCAGCATCGCCACCTCCAAGAGGGCGGTCTTGCCACTTCCGGTCGGGGCGGCCACGACGACGTTGCCGTCGCCCTGCAGCAGCGCCGGGATGACGGTCTCCTGCACGCGGGTGAAGGCGGGGTAGGGAAGGTAGGAGATGAGAGGCCCAAGGCACTCGCGCGCGGTCGACATCCGACGAAGACAATTCCTTCCTCTCCCCTTTCGTCTTGTTCAACGCCTTCTTTTTTTTTCTTTCTTTTTTTTCTTTCTACGCGTGTGTACACGCATGTACGGCGTGTCATTCACCGCAATTGCAGAATAAAACAAAACACACAGAAACAAAAACAGCAGCAACAACAGCCAGAGGTCGTCTCCCGCACAGCCATAACCCCCCCCCCCCCGTCCCCCTTTTTTTTCCATCTTGAGGCAGTGAGCGGCCACAGCCCCCACCTGCTGTGGAGCGTCGCTCTTTTCCTTCTTCCGCATCTGCTCTTTGTCTTCCCTCATCCAATGCTACAACGAAAAAAAAAAAAGAATGAAAAACACCCACTCCAACACGTACAGAACCGAGGCTACGAGCCCTATTTCGGCTCAGGCCGCCGGCACCAGTGCCACCCATCCCCCGTCTTTTTTGTTCACGCAGCGCTTATGCAGCGCTGGGGAAAAACACTACCCGGCACCCCCGGACGTCGTCAAGTGACTGTGTCTCTTCAAACAAAGTCATCATTGAGCCTTTGATGAACCTCGATGCCTTCAGGCGGGGGTAAATTCCCGCAAAATGCAGACCCTCAAGGACCGCAATGCCACACTCATCTAACGCATCCCGCGTTGAATCCGTAACTGGCGGCGTGGCGGGATCATCGACGATGAGGGCATCTGTGCCAATCAGCAGCAGCGAGGGGTACAGCTCGGCAAGGCACCGCACCGCGTCCACCTCCATGCACGCAAACCCTCTTGCCCATGTGCCTTCCCCCCGGTTGCGGAGACGGCTCGTGACAAGTAGAAGCCGCCAGACAGGCGAGGTCGCGGCATCAGGAACCACAGCCGCCTCCAGGACGCGTCGCGTGATAGGCAGGGGTGTGCCCGCATCAATGACCTTACAGTCCGCCTCCAACAAATCGCTGATATCAACTATTACCGCATCACCGGTGTAGTGCGAAGTACCAAACAGTTCCGCACCGCCGTTGCGAAGGAGTGTAAACGGCGTGTCACCGTGTAGCCACAACTGGGGGTTGGAAGCGGCGAGGGCGTTGCCACCGAGTCGCGATGCAGTCAGCAAAAGGCGTGAAAAATTACTGCATCTTATCACGTCATCCATCATCGACTGCCGCCAGCGAAGGAAGCGCATGTACGCGACGAGTAGCACTGCCCCCAGAAGCAGTCGAAGGAGCGAGACCGGCCTCGCCCCGCCCGCCGCTCGACGCGAGAGCTGGCTCAGCGTCCAGGCGACCCCGAAGACAAAACTCACAAACGACGTCACCGCCAATGACGGGAGGCGCATGCGGTCGGCAAGAAAGCTCCGGTTCTCCAGCAAGTAGAACGGGGCGACGCCTGGGGCCGTCCCCCGCGCCGCACCGGCGTGCGCCGAGAGGTCAACACAATGATCCAGCCTGACCGTCGCAGCGCTGCTGGCAGGGTGGTGCCATTCCGCAAATTTGCGCTTTCCCTCGCTCGACATCGCATAAACAAGAAAAACAACTAGGCACCCACAATTCTTCCTTGGAGACGCAGAGGCAGACGTGTCACCGTCACTCTGTGGGAGGGGGAAACCGGCAATGAGGAGACGCCGGCACGTGGCAACTGCGTCAAGTGCATTAACACCGCAAGAACTTTCCCAGAGATGAACGCAAAAATAATAATAATAATAAATACTTTACGCAACCAAAAAGGTGTCTTCTTCCACAAAGAGCCACTCTGTTTTGTTGATTGTTTGTCGTGATGCGATCCGTCCAAACCCGAAACAGAATCGGGGAAGCGCAAAGCGACAAGTTTCACAGGCATATCGATACCGCTGTATCACACGCGGCATTCCCAGAGACCAACGTGGTGAAGCAGAGCAGCATGGTTAATTTGGTTGCACACGTCCGCTTTTTCCCTTGTGTTTGCGGCCACAACCCAGCAGTAAACCGCGTTCTTGGCGCCACCACATCTGCTTCCCCAACACAATGTGACACCACGCCCCTCCCCCCAAATCCCCAGCACACCTGCCGCCCCTCCACAGGGCCTGCATACTACTTTTCAAACACTGCAGTGTCCATGGCCGCGCCCCACAACTCCACTGGGGCAATGCGTTGTTGCTGCTGCTGCTGCTCTCTCTCGCCCTCTCTGTGCGTGTGTATGGCGCAAATTGAAGCCTCCGCCTTGCCTGCTGCCCGACGCTGTGATCAGAGAAAATGAGGTGCACGCGGAGCAGCAACGCCCACATACGCACACCTGGGAACACGGCGGGGCCGGCGAAGAAGACGGTGAGCAAAATAAAATAATAACCCTATTCCCTCTTCGCAGCGAGGCGCAAATGAGGTTGGCAGCGTCTACAACGCACCCCAGCCGCCCTAGCGCCCTGTGCCATCCTGCAACGGCACACTGACCGTGCAGCAAGGGAAGCAAATCCCTAATTCACACCGTGCACCCTTGCAAAGAGTCCTGCACAGAGGCACGCCATGTATCCCCACCTAACCAACTCAACGAAAAACGAGGAAACTGAAAATAGTACGGTTCCAATTCGTCTGACGCTCAAGCCAGAAAAGCCTGCCACTACAGCAATAACACCAACAGCAGCGTGTATTCATTTTATCCACGGGTGACAAAAAAAACAAAAAAAACTCAAGTCTTCCCATATAAAGAAGTTATGCATATGTGCCGCTTACCACGGGCCCGCGCAAAAAAAAAAAAATCGGCCTTTTATCAGCAGCAATTTTTTCCCCACTTAAACACAGAAAACAGAATATGGTCCATTTGTAAGGAACCAAAGCAAGCTCGAACACAGAAAGCATA